TATATATATATGAACAGTAACCGACCTGTCAAAACTCAAATGAACAGTAACCGACATGTGAAGACTAAATCACCTAAAAAGAAAAGAAAAAATAACATGCCCATTGATACGTGTGAATAAATTAATTGAAGTGGGCCTCTATTTGGTTAAAATTGAATTTGAAGTCAAATGAAAACGGAAGCAAGACAGGATTTCAATCATCATTAACTAAGGGCATAACAGTACATAACCAATTTAAAATATGGAAGGTATGGCACTGTTACATAACCAGTTAAAAAAATCAGATAAAGTGTGAAAGGTATGGCACGGATTGAACAGTGGAATTCACATCCGCTCTTTTAAAGGAAAGGTGATTTTAGCATTACCAAGGCGGATTTTGGTCCGGTTCCTAACTTTACTAGTTGAATAGGCCGGCCCATCCGGTTTTATAAACATTGGTTTTTATACTCATTCTTTGTTAATTAACATATTTTGTCCTTGATAATGGTCAACATAATTCGTAAAAAATGAATAAAATACTTTTTTGTTCATATTTTTAGATAAGCAAGATAAATAACAAATCTAAAAGATCAGCAAAATATGTTTCTCACACTAACATAATATTTTGACAGAAATGATTATTATAGATAAAATATGTTATTAATTGAAGTTTAAGATAAGAGTATTACGGAAAAAAAAATTTAAGTCATAAGTACAAAAATGAGCAAGAAGGTGAAATTGGGGACTTGGACATAGGAACCTAAAATTCGTGCATGAAAAATACTAGGTTCGTGATCAAATCCAAGTTGTAAAGATTATTGATAATAAGAAGCTGGTTTTATGGATTCTCTCAAGTAAATTTGTAGATTGAAGTAGGAGGGATCCATCAATTTTAGTTTGAACAGCAACAGTGCCGGGTTTCATGCCATTTGCCAATTCAAAAATTGGAGCGATTTTGGGAATAATTGGTGCAATTGAATTCATACCCAGGGTCGTTTGGGCCTGTTGTTGGATCGGTTAATGCCAATTTGTAGGTTCACATCAAGTTAGGGCTGGAATTGACAGAGACAGATTTGAAAAAACTGGAGGCGTGACTATCAGAGGTTCATAGGCTAGTGCAGATTGATAGGACAATGTTTGGTTGAGATGAAGCCATATTTGAGGTCGTTTGGTCGAGAGCTTCCTGACGGTGGTGGTGCGCGACCGTGAGTGTTGCCGGAGGTTGGGTTTCCGGCCAAGATAGCTTGCGTGAGTAAGTTGTTTCGGCTTTATTTCGTGGCTGATTCCGGTGGGTTTGTGACCGGTGGTGAGGTGGAAGATGTTGGGGGGAGTGGGGCGATGCCGTCTATGGTGCTATTCGGCGGTATAGGAGGCCGGACATTGGTGGTTTGAGGTGTCTTGGTTGGCGGCTATGGTGAAATCCGGTGAGTTTGAGAGATTGTCCACCTCATCACATTTTGCTTACTTGGCTAAGAAATTGTACACCACGTCACTTACTTCGTTTGACACATCACCAAAAATCGTTTGATTTTGAGGCAGTGATGGATAAGGTCAAAATTTACAAAGTTCAGTGACTATTTAGAGTAAATGTGAAGTTCAGTTACCTCATGAGAACTTCTAGACAAGTTTGGTCACTATTTGGGGTATTAACCCGAGTTTTGTTCGACGTAATGTTCTAGCAATAAATTGTAAATGTTTGATAAACAACCCCGTTAAATCATTTTGTGTATGGACTTGACTAATAAAATGTTCAATGACAATCTCAATTGACATAATATACTCAGCGAATGCTCCTTATTTAAATTTACCAAAATTGTTATGACAAAATTCATGTGTGTTGTCGCAAGCATCCAAAAATAGTTTTTAAACCTCTAAAACTAATGTAGTAGTGGGAGTAAGGATCGATCCCACGAAAAGTGTGTAATTCAATATTTTATGCTTCGTACAATGATTAGGAGGTTTTTGTATGCAACAATTGT